CATTATTTTTCTAAGGTGTGAAAAATCGTACGTAGTTTTCTTTATTTTAGTTAAATATATTTATTCTTCAATCCCTTTCATATTTCAATTAAGGCAGTAAGTATTTACAAATGTGATATGCCTAATTGGGCCAACCCAATGGACATACAATTTATTTACCTACTGGGCCACGAGCCCAATATTGAAGACCAATATCACCGAGGCCCAATCACCTTCAGATAAGGTTTGGGCCCAACGATCTCATCTAAGGTATAAATAACGATATAATTCATTTATTAAGGGAGGGCCCTATTATCTAAATAAGACTAGGAGTCATATTCTCTCATTTTATTTCCACGATCCGCACGTCTGACTTGAGCGTCGGAGGGGTTTCCGCCGGATCAACCCCCGGCCTAGTTCACGTGTTCTATGATCGCAGGTATCTCAAGGTCATCAAGCTCGTGAGCCAGTGATCCACTCTGCTCTTCCATATCTCAACTACTTGAGGTGATCTATTTTTAGCATCATCAAAATGGTATAACGTTTATATTCATAATTTGAACATAGATACCTTAAGGCAAAGAAATATTCTAAATTTGAAGACAACAGTGCAAATTCTATGAACTAGCTAGGTTGAAAACTATAGTACTATTTCTTGTTTACAGACCTGATGCGGTTTGGTGACAAAATCCTTACTCTTACAGTCTTACTTATATACAGATTTCATATTCCTTTGTTCTCGTTTCCCTTAACTTCTCGCAGTACGTCTTTATTTTTTTTTTTTCTGTGAATTTCTCTTTCTACCTGTAAAGGTACCTTCTTTGTTTGCTTTCTTTTTTAAAAACTTGAACCTAGTTTTGTTGTTAATTCATTGTTAACTCATCTCTCAGCATTAAATAGGGACTCCAGTCAAATGAAGCCGTTGAAGCGACAACCACTGGGACAAGCACGGCCAAGACGGCGGCGGATGGCCCATGGTTGCTGGAGCAAAAGAAGAAAGAAGCAGAGGGGACCAAAGGAGAGAACAGAGATTGTCTAGGGCACAAAACGGGAAAGGAGTACAAGAGGAGAGGGAGAGTCAGCTAGAATGAACGGCTGAGATCAATCTTGAACCAAGGGTTCAGATTTAAACCTTCTAGCACATTCCCACTAATGGGCTTATTCTGCTTAGGCCGTTCCAATAGACAAGTGTGTGTGTATTGAGATATTGGGCTATAGGCTCAAGACACATTTGTGCCACAACCATTACAAATCTCCACCTTGGACCAAAGTGTATCATTAGTGAATTTTATGATTTATTGGAAGTCATCATTGTTGTTTTTGATATACATGTAAAACACAAAGTAGTACTAGTATATCTTTCTGATTTCACATAGACAGTCAGAAGAAATTGTCACAAAGACAAAGCACATTGCAGAAAAACATGCACACAATCAGTCACACAGACAGCACACAGTCAGTCACACAAACTGTAGAAATAGCACACAACATTTTAATCTTGGGAAATTAGGTTCAAGTTTTTCAAACAAGAACGAAATTTCTCAACTGGTAAGCAGGGTTGAACTCTGAGGGAATTTTTTCAAGGTCAATAATCCCTTCTTCCACAATTCTCCTAATAAAGTGAAATTTGATCTCAATATGTATAGTTCTATCATGGAAGACAGGGTTTTTGCACAATTGTATTACAGGAAGAAGATCCATATTTCACATATCTCTGTCTAGAACGAGGTAAATATAATTTAGTGAGTTAATTTGCAATTTGAGATCTAAGCTGTGGACAACTATCGGCACTACGCGCAATTCACCTGCAGAGCCTATTCTCTATCCATCTGCAATGTTTTTAAAATTAATGAGGTATTAGCTACACCATTTTTATACATTTAAAGATTTTGACGTATAAATTGTGTTATTTATTTGTGGTTTTGATATTTGATGTTGAAACATCACTTGCATGAAAAAATATATATTTAATAATGAATAAAAGAAGGAAAAGTGAATAAAAAGTTGCCGGTTGCATGTTACCACTTACCACAGCGAGTTTTATATTTTTAACATAAAGTTTGTATTAATTAACTATGCAGCAAACTCTTAATTGGGGAGTTTTATATTTTAGGGAAAATTTGACAAACCCTTCGTTAGACATGTGTAAGTTACAATCAGCCAAAAAAATCAAAATTTTAAGGTAAATTCAAAATATTTTTAATAATAAAAAAAGATAAATTTTAATATTATATCCTTATATTAATTAATAAAAAAGTAATTAAATAAAACATTTTCTTATTCAAAGAAACTGGAAAAAAATCCAAAAAACCATTTAATAAAAATCAAAATTAAGAAAAAAAAATCATTAAAGAAACGAAAATAAAAACAAAACCATTTTTTTAAAATCAAAATGAAAAACATGAAAAATATAAATAAGAAAAAAATAATTAAATTAAAATACGAAAAAAATAAAAATAAAAATAAAATAAATAAAAATTAACCAATTTTTGTTTTAAATCGAAATAAAGAAAATCATTAAAAAATAAAAAATAAAAAAAAAAGGAAAAACAGAAACTGAATGCCGTGAGATGGGGAAAATTAGGGGATTTGGATATTTGAAAAAATAATTAATTTTCCATAATAATATAATATATGATAATTTTGAATAATATTAAATAGAGGCACTTTGAATAATTTGAATCAAATGAGTTTATAACAAATATAAATTAAAAAAAAAATGGATTCATCACATGAAACAGGCCCTATATTTTAACATAAAATATGTATTCATTAATTATGGGAGTATAGCCGCCAAGTTTATATTTAATACTATATCCATTGTGCTGTCTACTATGTTAATTGCAGAGACATTGTAATGGGATTGGAGTATTTACATTCAAAGGAATTATTCACGGAAATTTGAAGCCTAATCTTATTAATAAAAGGAAAAGGAAGGTTGTTGTGGTGAAATCCTAGGGTTTTTTTCCGCTCAATTTATGGCTACATTTGTCTTTTATACCATTTATTTATTTTATTATTTTTTTATTTCACCTTTTAATGATATATTACTAAGATTAATTACGTATTTTAAAGTTATTATCCAGATTTTATTATTTTATTATTTTAATGATATTTTAATTCTAAACTAATTACATTTATAATTAATAAGATTAATTATAATTTTAATGATATTTTAATTCTAAACTAATTACATTTAAACTATAAACTATATTAATAAGATTAATTACGTATCTTATTAATCTTATTAATAAGAGTAATAAAATTTTATTATTTTTTTATTTCAATTTACATTTAACCTAATTTTAATCATATTTTAATTCTAAACTAATTACATTTATAATTAATAAGATTAATTATAATTTTAATGATATTTTAATTCTAAACTAATTACATTTAAACTATAAACTATATTAATAAGATTAATTACGTATCTTATTAATCTTATTAATAAGAGTAATAAAATTTTATTATTTTTTTATTTCAATTTACATTTAACCTAATTTTAATCATATTTTAATTCTAAACTATAAACTAATTACGTACCTTTTAATGATATATTACTAAGATTAATTACGTATTTTAAAGGAATTATCCAGATTTTATTATTTTATTATTTTAATGGTATTTTAATTCTAAACTAATTACATTTATAATTAATAAGATTAATTATAATTTTAATGATATTTTAATTCTAAACTAATTACATTTAAACTATAAACTATATTAATAAGATTAATTACGTATCTTATTAATCTTATTAATAAGAGTAATAAAATTTTATTATGTTTTTATTTCAATTTACATTTAAACTAATTTTAATCATATTTTAATTCTAAACTATAAACTAATTACGTACCTTTTAATGATATATTACTAAGATTAATTACGTATTTTAAAGGAATTATCCAGATTTTATTATTTTATTATTTTAATGGTATTTTAATTCTAAACTAATTACATTTATAATTAATAAGATTAATTATAATTTTAATGATATTTTAACTCTAAACTAATTACATTTAAACCATAAACTATATTAATATAATATACCCAAAGTTTTAGGACGATCCACCAATTTTACCCAAAATTTGTGTACTTATATAATATACAGTTTCGTGATTTTGATTTTTAAATAGTTTTTTGGACATTTCAGCAATTTTACCGAAAATCTAAATACTAATAGTATTCAGTTTTTTGTGATTTTGATCGTGAAAAGGTTTTTGGTCGTTCAACAAATTTTATCCAAAATATGTGGACTAATACCATACAATTTTTGGTGATTTTGATCGTCAAGTACTTCTTTGGACATTGCACAGATTTTGGTATTTTGATCGTGAAATAGTTTTTTGGACGTTTCTCCAATTTTACCGATAATCTTTTTTGTGATTTGGATCGTGAAATAGTTTTTTTGACGTTGCACTAATTTAAAGTAAAATATGTGTACTACTATACAATTATTGGTGATTTTGATCGTGAAAAAGTTTATGGACGTTCCACCAATTTTACCCAAAATATGTGTACTATAGTTTACAGTTTTTGTTGATTTTGATCGTGAAAAAGTTTTTGGGAGGTTCCACCAAGTTTACCAAAATTTTGTGTACTATATAGCATACAGTTTTTCGTTATTTGATCGTGAAATAGTTTTTTGGATGTTGCACCAATTTAAACTAAAATATGAACGTGAAAAAAAAAATTTGACGTTTCACCAATTTTGCCCAAAACATGTGTCTTATTATAGCATACAGTTTTTGGTGATTTTGATCGTGAAAAAAAAAAATTTGGACGTTACACCAATTTTACCTCAAATTTGTGTACTATGCATACAGTTCTTTGTGATTTCGGATTGGATTCCGTTCTCGGTTGAGTAGGGTTAAAATAAAATTTAAATACCTATTCGACTTTTTTATTTAGTTTGCTAGTTTTTCGAAAAACGAAGTGTTAGATACGAATTTCTTCTCGGCTGCGGTCTTGGTTTCGATTTTTGTTTCGGTTTCGATTCACTTTCGATTTCGGGATTTAGGGTTCGAGGTTTCGGTTTCTATTTTTGGGGATTCATTTGTTTGGGTTCGGTTTCAGTTTGTTTTGGATTCGGCTTTGATTTCGGTTTCGATTTACGGTTTCGGTTTGATTTAGGTTTCCGGGTTATCCAAGTGGTATTATAGTGAATAGGAGTAAGGTTAAAATCAAATTTAAATACCTATTCGACTCTTATATTTTGTTTGGTAGTTTTACGAAAAACTAAGTGTTATATTGGATTTCGTTCTCGGTTGCGGTTTTGGTTTCGATTTATGTTTCGATTTCAATTCGGGTTTCGGGTTTGGGGTTTCGGGGTTCGAGGTTTCGGTTTCGGTTTCGGTTTCTGTTTTCGGGGATTCATTTTATTGATTTCGAATTTCGAGTTTCGAGTTTTGGTTATCGGGTTTCAGTTTCGGTCGGTATTTTGTTTTCTTTGGTTATAGTTTGATGTATTTGTAGTGACATTTCTCTTTTGGTCGAGTAATTGGATCTTGAATTCTGATTTAAACATTTGAATGCTTTTTTTATAAAAACTGTCATAATTTTTTTTCAAGACTGTTGATAAAAACTATTGTTTTATATATTTGAATGTCTTATTGTTATAAACATATTATGTGATTAAATGTTTAAAATTTAGTGGAAAAATATGAATCACTAGTTCAAAAATAGATTAGAAAGGGATTGAAATCTTGGGTCTAAGTTTATAGACATGTTGAGTCCTGCATTCTCCTTTTCAATTATAACAACTGAACACTGTACGTAACTGGCTGTCACTGGTGCACTTTTTGTTTCAGTACTCTACTCGGTACGAGTAATGATATGGAACAGAACATATTACTTGCGTTAAAATCCATCTATCAATATAAAACACATGAACAACTAAAACCTACCATCAGCATCACCACCAAAACCAACTAATATGGCGAATATTAAGTTAAAAGACAGTTAAATATCCCTACCTAATTTAACATTCAAATCCTAAATTTTAACATTCAAATGCTGAAGACACTGCAGAAAAATTCGAACAAACAGAGACAGGATAACGCAACACACTGGCGGTGCATCTTATAATTCATTTTCTTCGCTTCTTTGCGCTCTTGGTCTCACCTTCTCGTGGCTTCACATTATCTGAGGATCTCCCCTTGGCCGTTTCTCCTGATTTTGCCGAGTCAGCTGTTTTTCCCTTCATCCGATCAGTTTCTTTCACCTTTGATGAACTAGATTTTGGTATTTTGGCATCACTCGCTTTGCCACTTAGTGTCGTTTTACCTCTCGACTTGGGAGTCTTTGGACTGACTTGCTTTGAGCGGCTTAATGTTTTGGCAACATCAGTGTTGGATCTACCAGTTGTTTTGCCTTTCTGAGAATGATCTTTCAGTTTTATGCTTTCATCTACAGATTTTCTACTTGACTTTGAGTTGTTATCTTTGGACTCAGGCTCTGCTTTGCCATCATCCTTAGATTTGCCATCATCCTTAGATTTGCCATTATCCTTAGATTTGCCACCAGATTTTGTTGAGGCATTTTTTGGTTTGCTGGAGGAGTGAGACTCATTACTGGTCATTCTTATAAAACACCCTTGTCTCCCATAAAGAAATGTACACTTAAATTTGAGCATAAGAGAACAAACCTTTTTGTTGAACCCTCCATCTTTTGACGCTTGCTTGATGTTTCGGAATTTATATTACCTTTCTTCTTCCTTTGCCTGGTTAAAGGAAAGAAGCAAAGGGATCTCTTGGTTAGAAATAAGAAGCAAAAGCTCAGACTCTTGATATTTTCATTCTAAGACCCCCCTCCCAAATCACTTGATTCCATTGCTAGTAGCTTGTGTCTATGACGGGAGACTGGAACAGTCCCTCTGTCATATGAGCGAAAAAAGAGCCTACTTCTAACAACGTAGTGCATATGATACCACAGCCAACAGGTATCTCTACATTGGTCTCACTCTTGAATCTCAATCTTACCCTCAGTGTCTGAAGACAACTACTACATATAACAGCCATTTCAAGTATGACGACCATAAAAAGCTATAAATTCAGGATGACCAATGATGTGACCTTACTCAGTGGGAAGTAATTGCAAGTCTACAGAGTTCAAGAATAAAAGCATTACTTCTTAAGAAGGGGTGCTTAAGATGGAAAAACAAGTAGAAGCATGTACGGAACAATGAAAATTGAAACTTACATGTCAGAGGAAGTATCATGACTTGAATGTTCAACATCTTGGTCCTATTCACAGAGATTGTAAGTGACAAAGTCAAGAAGGTACACTTAAGAAGAAATAAGAATCAGTATGTTACTTACTCCATCTGAAACCAAGTCATCTCCTAACAAACTCCCCATTTTTCTTTTCTTGAGATTTAGCACTTTCCTTTATCACCATCAGTATACAAGACCTGTTTAAGATAGAAGCAAGAACTAAAATAAGGGTTTTAAAGGCAAAACAAACAATACTAATGAAAGGCATGACCTAACTTCCACACTGACCTTGTGCTTCTTCTTGCCAGAATCGAGAGACGCAATTACACCCTCATACTACCTGGGAACTAGTGACCACACAGAAGACAAGCTCTCATTTCATAATGAATCGTCTATCTGTACTACCTTTAAATTTAAAAGAACCACTTACATTTCATCATCTGGCCACCAAACTTTAACTTTTGGAACCAACCAAATTCTTGCCATATTTTACAGTATCAGATACCTGGAATAAACAAAAAAATTAGATGATAATAACATTATCGGTCAAAGGATGTAACTTCTCTAGACGCAAATGTAGCTTTTCAGGTGTTCTGAGTTTATTTCTACCTGACCAGTTGTTAAACTGTGGAACAGGGACCATTAGTTTATGATATTACACATAATGCATGATGCAATCCTATCCATAAGTTGACAATGTAATTCTTCAGGTTTGTTTGAAATCATGTGATGGTTCCATGAAAGAGTTCACTGATCTGACATACTTCAATGGAATTCCTTATTTTCTCCACGAGATTTTTCCAACTATTTGGAAACAGCTTCAAACGACTCATTAAGCAAAATTTGACAAACAAACAAATAAACTATTTCAAACTTCATAACCATCAAAACAAATGGGATACAAAAAAAGGACTATGTTCACTACTAAAAATCAAATGGAAGATGAAAGGTTCAAGAGACAGATGATCAAAATGCTTGGTAAATTGCCAGCAACACATGTATACATTCATGAGAAGAGAATTTCCATCCACGACTTGGTGCAATCATTGGCCTCTCCGAACAAGTCCACATTAAGAGTAACAATTGAGTCCTGTTCATTTGTTATTGGATATTGTTCTCTAGGAAAGCAGGTGTAAGAGAATAGTTAAAGCAGAATAGTTAAAGAAATTACTTACTTTCTCTACACCTGAAGTTCGCTTTCTCTTGGTATTCGTTTTTGGGGTTTCTTCGCGGATGCATTCATCTTTCATTGATTTTAAAGGTGACCTTGGCGAAGTCACTGTGCCCTACATGATGAACCACAAAATCCACACAACATGGACAACACAAAGTAAGGAATAGGAAAAATAACTGAAACATAATAAAATTATGGAGAAAGTGATTACTTTCCCACGATCTTCTCTCGCAGAAGATTTCAGAACATCTTTTTCAATTGTAGGTCTCATGCGTCCTCTCTTTTCGCCATCTTCTTTCCTTAATGAGGATCCTTCATCCATCTTATTACTAGCATCCCCCAGCTGATCTGTCTGGTCAGGTGATCTTGCCTCCGAATCACTTGTACCGCCATCATCGGCCTTCGATGCTCCGTCTTCAGTCGATTTATCCTTGTCGGTTGTCTCTTCAGCCATCTTGTTTCCTGAGCACAGCTGCTTCTTTTCTTCTGAGATATATTCTCCTTCAGATGTTTTCTTAGAATCAGTATCAACAGATTCTATCTCTTCTTCAACAAAGTTCTCCTTCCTATTTGCAAGACAGTCCTTTTCAGCTCGGCTCTCATGGATAGGGCTGCCACTTTGGGTAGGAGATGTTTCATTCACGGCCTCATTCTCAGGTGATTCTGATGGTAAAATCTGAGCAGTGGTGTCTTTTACTTTGTCCAAAGATTTAACAGGTTCAACAGGTTTGACCTCGGTAGGAGAAATATGCACATCTTTACTTGGAATTTCATGGTTATATGGCACCTGCTGAGATTCTGCATGCTCCATTTTCGCTTCCAACTTCACTGGTGTTTGAGCACCCGAATCATCTGATTCAGCTTTGGACATTGATTTGGCATCAAGCTGTTGGTGAGAATTAGTGTTCTGTGAAGAATTTCCATCAGTCATAATTTGTTCAGTCCCAGTTTCATTGGCACCATTACTCACAATTGATTTTGGTGAGTTAGTCATAGTGGGATCTTTGTCTTCAATGGTTTCTTGAATACTATCCTTAGTGACCTGCATGCACAACGATGAGGTCTACAGGTTATTTTTTAGGACACAGACAGCAGAACTTCTCCTAGGTATATCAGCAACGCACATGCGCAGCTGGCAAAGATTAATAGCCAGCAAAATATATATAGAAAGAGAACAACCATTTCTGCTTAGTAAAATACAAAAAAGGGGGGGGGGAGAGAAAAAGGGGGGGGGCAGTAAAAACATTGATTTGTAACTACCAAAAAAAAAGGGGCCAGTCTTTTCCCCCCCCAAAAAAAA